CTACTATTTGAAATTTTTTTTTCGCTACAGATATCACTGAGTATAATCGGGGATGATATCCAATGTCTTGTTCTTTCCGTGTAGTCAAATAAAATAAAAATTATAGAAAAAAAAATTTTTTTCTTAAAATCGACAAGAAAAAAAATCAAAAAATTATGAAAAGTCTGTTAGCTTAAAAATAATTTTCAATAATGACAATAGTTTAGTTTTACAGTCATGTTATTTTATTTTAATTAAAAAAAAAAAAAAAATTTTTTTTATTTTTCAAGTTATTTCATTTTACGGTAAACTTAAAAATTAACAACAAAATTTTATTGTACAATATTTTTTTCTGTAGTTTTTATTTAAAAATTACAAAAATTTAGAAAAGAATTTTTATAATTTTTAATTTTTTTTTTTTTTCACTGTATTAATACTAAAAAAATTTTTTTCGTTTTTGAAATTATTCTATTATTTATGCACTTAAAAAAAAAAATCTAATTGTTAAAAAAAAAATTCTAAAGGTCATTTTTATGGGTCAAGGTATTGTAAACCGTGAAAATAAAAAATTACCACAAATATTAATAACATAATAAATAATAACTTATAGTACCTGATTGCTTGTAATGAGTAATTGATGTGTTAGCATAACTAATTGAAGACTGTAAGCCGCCCTATGAGCAGGTAGGGTATGCAAAAGATGGCCTTGAAAACGCTCCCAAACACAAAGTCTCTCGTCAGTGCCAATGCTTATTACATAAGACGCTGAACAAGTTATTGCAGCTATTGCACCATCGTGTGCCTGTATGCTGTACACACAAGTACCTGCGTAATGAAAATAAAATAAATTATCATAATCATAGTAAGCAAAAGAAGACACTAATACAAATAAAATTCAAATTATAATTGCTAATTACCATTAAGTAAGTCCCAGACACAAAGAAGTCCGTCCTGTGAGCCACTGCCTGAGGTCATAGGACTGATTCTATCGATAAATAGGCAAGAAATGGGACCACAGTGTCCATGCAGCGTGTACATAGGAACGAGGTCCTCTAGTCTGAATACCTTCAGCGTGTGGTCTTGACTACCCGTGACCACGCGACCACCTTCGCTGTCCAAAACAGTGATGGCTTGCTGGTGCGCTCTGTGTGACCCTTTTTTAATGCACCTAAACTCTTCTTTGGCAGGAGGTTGCAGGTTGAGGTCCATCGGCGAACCAGCGCTTCCTGTCCTCACATGTGTCCTGCGACCTGAAGTGAAACCCCAGCCCACGTGGTGACCTTCACTGTGCTGTTCCAGCTCCAGGAAATCCACGGAGCCGTTTAATTTCGCTGCTACTACTCTATTGTATACTAATTTTACTGCAGATATACCTAGACAAAATAAATTAATAATTAATTTATAGAATTTTTTCTTTTTTAGAAAAATTTAAAAAAATAAATAAATTTTATGGATAGTGAAAATTTTTATTATTAAAAAAAATTAAATTAATTAAAACTAAAAAAAAATAGTTAAAAAATTAAAATTTTATAATTACACTCATGAAAATGATTCTATAAAAATAACAAAAGATGAGATGGTAGAAAAATATTTTTTTGTAAAAAAATAAGTTTACTGATGGTAAGAAATTGATTAATTTTTTTAACAAAGTGAGCCAAGTTGCAATTACAAATCAGTTTATAATACGGTTAAATCAATTTTGTCTCAGCAAAATTATTTTGTTAAAATAGAAACATCTGTTGGTTGTTACAAAATTTTTTCATCTATATTATTAAGAGAATAAGTAAAATTTTGTGGCCAGTGTATTTATATGATAAAATGGGTTTTTATGGTTAAATTTGGTATCGTTGGAAAAGTCTTGACCTGAAGTTATGCCTTTTCATGATTTTATATCATTCAAACCAATAATCAATTTATTATAAGTATTTAGGCTACATTCGAAAATTCTCTTTCTCTAGATACACAATTAAGAAATTATCTTGTATGTTGTGAACTATTGGCATTTTTAAAGATATAAGTTCATCCTGATGTTACACTCATCAAGACCTTTCATTTGAGTACCCACATTATTTTTCATATATTTTAAATATTTATATATATATATGTATATATGGAAAATATATAAAAAATGCATGTGGGTATTTAAATGAAAGCTCTTGATGAGTGTAACATCAGGATGAGCTTATATTTTTAAAAACGTTAATAATTAAAAAAGTACAGTGCAATTTAACAAAAGTAATTATTTAATAAAACAAAATTTGATTTATTTATTGTTCACAAGTACGGCAGTCACATAGTGACTGCAAGGTTGCTAGTTAAAATTACTTAGCTACTTTTGTTAAAATAACAGAATTTATTTTGTGTATTTTAAAAAAATCAATTTTTTGTCACTATTAATATTCAATTGAACAAAAAAATTGAGCTACCTCAATAACAAAATTTGTTAGACCAACTAACTGGTTAATATTACAACAAAATATATTTTTTTAAACCAAAAAAAATTATTTTTTATTCCTTTGAAAAAATATCGTTGCTTTAATAAACTAATGTGTTCATTCAGCTAGACTTCTTAATTTAAATAAATGGTTCTGCTACAGTAACAAAACTATTTTGTTAATACAAAATATAAATAAGTTATTAAGTAAAACCTAGGTTTTATTATCACAACATATAATTTGTTATCCCTATGATAACATAGTAATTTGTTACCACAACTTGTCTCATATCTACGTTCTAATTAGCAAATTGTCCAACTCCATTTTAGAGAATCTTCTATTTGTATGAAAAAAAAACAATTAGTTCAAAATTTATTATCACTTTAAAAAATCATTTAATATCATTATGATCTAATAGAGATATAATATTTAGGTTTGAATCATTCAAATAATTTATAACTGGATTATTGCTACATCAAAATTTTAAGAAATCACCCTCTAAAAAATAAGGAGTTAGCCAAATTGCTAATTAGATCATCGATAATGTTCCTAAAAAAAAATTTTTTTTAACATACCTAGACCAGACCCGTCGTCGAAGAAGCACTTCAACAGCCCGGTAGTGCCTTCCCAGAACTCCAGCGCTCCATTGGCACACCCGACGACAATAATATTGTCCTGGTAGTCTACACACCAAATAGGCGCGATATTGTAGGACTGAGTCGTCCTGTTGGTGTTCAACGACGTAGCACTGTCTGTCAACAAGTCGTTGTTGTTAAGCGTACCGGTGCTACCAGTTAAATATTCACTACTTCCGCATTTATCAATATCGTCAAGTGTCTTGATGTGTTCGGTGAACAATTTTTTATAATTATCGCCGTAATCAAACCCATTTTCATAATTCTTCTTCGCTGAATTAGGCACTGGTGAATTATTGAATTTGGTGTTGATAAGCGGACGGAAGTCAGGAAATTCAAACCCTCGGTTGGACAATCGACCAAGAGATTTACGTTTCTCATTTTGCGGGAACTCGTTTATCTGGTGGTACTCGTAGTCCAGGGAATGGGTGGAATGTCGCTTCTTGATCTGCTCTATGCGCTGGTAATTGTTGGATCCAGGAGACTTCTGCGGACCTGTGGCCGCGGAATAGAGTCCGAAAGAGTGCTGGGAGTCGAATTCACCTCGCGAAGGCGGAGATC